CTGTTACAGACTGGCTCCACACGTAGAATTTGTTGTTCCTCTGGAGACTCATTACTATATCCAGGCCAACCGAGAACTGATGTTAACGATGACTGTGCAATATCAACCACGTACTTTGTGGATTTGACCGATGTGGCGGAGCAGAGTGTAGGTAATGTGAAATTTTAATCATCGAGACCATTTTCGGGTTGTGTATGGAACAACACGCTGCGTTTCAGTATTTATTTCGAGAAGAATTTTATCAGTTCTCATCGTTGTATACATCATCAATGTTTTTAGCAAGTACATCAATGCACAAAATGTTAACGGGTCCACGATGTCAGTGATGAGAAATCGCTGACAAATCTATGCGGCATCATTAATCAATTCTGTTACGTTGCTGCATGCGAGAACCGACCCAACGAGAATATCGAGACGATACGTAAGGTTGTGATCGTCACAGAGTTCACGAAGTCCCCCTTCAGATTTTTGAAAGATCGTTATGCATACTATACCATTCATTTTCGTACGTAAACTATTGATAGACATTCCCGGCTAAGATATAAGGGATTACGTTATATTGGTGACATTTGTTAGCTCTTTTATGGTGGCTTTTATAAATCGACGTGATTTTAGTTTAAATATGCATTTTATTCCTTTATGTGATTTTTTTTGTTTAGTATTGTATATGTCAGTCGATACCTTTACAGGCGACATGAGTTCTGTATTTTTGTTTGTTGCATTTTCTCTTTGTTGTTAACTTTATTGATTGATTGATTGTTAATTTAGGGGTCAAGACAGAAGAAAATCCTGTATGATAAGGCAGTGCAAATGTTTCCTTCTCATCGTGTGTGGAAAATTCGTACGAGAATTTTGGTTCTGGTTCGAATTCTTATAATCGTTCGTGGTCAGGTTCGTAGTATGGTTCAGGTTCGGGTTCGCGCCGCCTTTCGTGGGTCAGTTATCTGAATCTATCATTATCTACTCCTACTACTGGCTGTTGTGACCGTAACATATCTTTGACACAATTATAGCTGGCTAAAACATTATGATTTAGTCCCCATTTGTTCGAGGGCAACATTACTACTTCGTCCCCCAAATTTTATTAGTATATCTCAGCAGAATTTAGCATGATATTTATACTAATCATTTAAACTATCGCCTCCAATCCGGCGTGGTACACCAGTTACGTCAATTGTTAGGAAACTATACGGCTCCTAGATGGAAAATCATACGCATATTCCGAAATTCACACCCTTTAGTAGTCTGCAAACCAAGTCCAATGAATGCTTGCAAGGCAATACGAGTAAACGCCACAAAATGTCATGAACAAGTTGCAGTTGACTTGGACTACTTTATGCACGTGTACGCATCTCTGAGTCACATAGACCACATCGGTGTATTTTAGTTGACTTCGGTATAATATTTGTGTTTTCTAGACGTTAAAGTATCATCTCAAATGATAAGGTTATTTTCACAGCGTCAAAGTCGTCAATGGTATAATATTTGTGTTTTCTAGACGTTAAAGTATCATCTCAAATGATAAGGTTATTTTCACAGCGTCAAAGTCGTCAATGGTATGAGCTTCACGACTGTGGAAAAGAAATCAACAGTAGAAGATTTACTTCTTGGTGACGACTGAAGCGAAAAATCTAATGCAGTTATGTACAGCCGATAGCAGATTATCCATCTCAAAATCATATTTAGCAACCGTTACGATTTCCTTGATTTGGTTATACCAACGAAATGATTGTGGAAACATGTTCACCATGCTTGAGTGGTTTGGGCTTTGCCTGCGATGCGAAGACAGAACAATGACAATAAGAGCAGAGCTTTGCAAATCAGACCTTTTCCTATTTTGTGATGTCACGTTAAATGCCACACAGTTGTTGCATAGTACAAAAACTTCTTCATAGTTGTGTGCGATACCGCGCAAAGCATGTATTACAAATCCATTTAGAGTTCACACATGTAATGACCAAGTTGTGGTAACTGGAACTTGTGTTTGATGTAGAGCAAATAAGCTAACATTTGTGAGAATCCATGGTAGTAGCAATGTTTTAAAGGATAGTCTGTGGTGATTCGCTGCTGCATAAACAGCTATCCGTAACTCTATTGAGCAAAATACTCTCGTGAAAAGCACATCTGGCTCCCTCATTTACCTATGTACAGTTATCGTGGACCTGGTGTACGACTGTAATTGCGACTCGATTCTAATAACCTACCAAAACCCTTGATGAAAACTTTCCTGCACTTCCTTGGTCTTAGCATCAACTGTTTTGCTGTTGATGATCGACTGTATCAGATTTGTTTACAATGTCCGATGCTATATCCGCATTCATCATGAACGATAATATGCATTAGAAGTGAATAAGTGACTGTGTAGAGTATTTTGACACGATAAATGTTTTTTCTTATAATACAACTCGTTCATTAGCAGCTTGAACACATTCATCAAGGACTCACTTATGTAAAATTCGTCAACTGCAGCTTTGATTTTTGTATTCTATTCGGCAACAAATCTGCGGGACACATGCTACGTCTACGAAGAGTCTTCGAAGCTTGTTATGTTCACTATTGGGGACAAGGTCGACTCAGGTTTGCTTTTGCTTGTTTTTCATTGTTTTCTCGAGCACAGAATTGTTAATAAATTTATGGAAGCCTTTGTCAAACTCGTTTGTGCCTATATCCTCAGATCCGTCGACATAAGAATCCATTTAGTGTAACGATGATTCTCCATAGAAATCCCACCACGAAGACTATGTTCAGTACAATGATCAATATCACTGAGCAGTTCCAACTCCACTTTGTTTTTGACAACAGCATATAGCAGTCCATTCCTCGAGTACACACGCTTGTCGGTAACACGTAACACAACAAATCTCCAAGATATTCCTGATTGTCAATAAGATTTTCACATTCCAGTGCTGACCCGTTTTTGTATGCATATTCATGGTCGTTGGCTGACATATCTACGCTAAAAAACGACGAATGAAATATCTCAATTGGTAGAAACTGAATTTCAGTAAACCTTCCCCATCCGTCAAGTCCTCAGGGAGATACCTTTTGTAATCATCAATTTTAATTGTCAGGATAAGTAGAACCATATCTACTGGTAATTTTGAATAAATCGTTTTTGCTTCTTGCAAACATGTTACTGATGAGGTTGTATAGGATAGAATTGAGAAACTGCAGCAAATCAACTGTAGTTGTCCGATTATAAACATCATATATTTGTCATCGTGTTAGGGGTGTAAATGACGCTATTGCACTGTTTGAATTGTTAAGTTTCCATTTTACTCTGATAGGTCATGAAACACTACAAAAATTCTTGTTCTATTAGGTTTAGTTTGTAGCTTTAGAATGCATGTTTTCTTTCTGAGGCTCATCGCTATATTCACTGTCAACAGTGGCTAAATCTGCGTTTCGTTCCTTATATTCATTCACTGGCGACTCAGTTAACGTAATGGGATTTAAATTTTCTAATATAAGATCAAACAAAGACTTTTCGGGATTTTTATTTTAACATGTGCCAAGTTCACGTCATTGAGCTTCCAAAATAATTCCTAAATTAATTATCAAGAGCATCGGATACATTTTTGAAACATCATAAGCATCTTCTGAACCTCTTTGACAAATCTGTACTCATTGTAAAAAAGATGGTGACTTATTCATCTCTATAACGTAAGAAACACTACAATGATTTGACAATATGATGCCAGAATTAAATACGCTCAAGATTCTGCAATCCCAGATGACCCCCTGGCGTGCCAAACGCCAAACGTGATGGTCCTGTTCAATCTAATTACATTTCAAAGAATTATGCGTGACTCGTACTTTTAATTGACGTCAACCTTGCATATCAAACAAACTTTTTTTTTTTAACATATGACCAACCCAAGCATCGATGTCTTCTCAAATATTAGGAAAATATTAGCTTCGGCAAGTGGGAGTCGAACCAGCAATATTCTGATCAACATCATAATGTATTAACTAATTATTCACTTTCTTCTTGCAAGAGCATCAGTTGGCAACATTTACGAGTGGGCACGTCAGCGTGATATGAAGACAAAGTCATGGGGTGTGGTTGATCTATATCAGTAAAATAATGCAAAACCTCTAGTGTCATACTAATCGGACGAACACGTGGATATGTTGTTCTGAAACGGTTGTGTGCAATCTAGCGTTCACCAACCCCGCAAGCGCTTGTTGATTTTACATTATCATTTACAATATACACTTAATTGTATACAAAAAGCCCATTAATATTTATGGAAGTAACGCAACCAGATAAGATGTTGATATGAAAAGGTTTGCAACCATCGAATATATGACCGAATTGTCCACTCGGATTGTTCTTTGTTGTTAATGTAGTGAGCTTTTGTTTTTGAAGATCAAAATGCAAAAAATGTACACATTCACTGTGAATATTAAAGACGTTGTTCTGAAGCTGAGAAATTCTTTTGCAAAGAATCTGACCGAAATCAATAAATAGTTGGATTCAGTGACTCTGGTGTGATGGTGCCTTTATGAAAGACTATATTGAAAGCATATATAGAAACTTTATGAAAGACTATATCGAAACTATTATTACAGAGATGAAACAATACGTGCATGAAAACGTCGCGAAGATGTCACAGGCATCATTGGCAGTAACTTCATAGTACAAAATTCAAAGAATACTGATGACACAATCAAGGAATAAACTGACATCTTAACCTTAACGAATCTGTTTTAAGTCAGCCTTCATATAATCCAGAGAGACGAATATTTTTATTATAATAATAATCTCGAACAGTCGTTTTTATGAAAACAATTAATACGTAACAAATTTCAATATATGTGCGCTATTTGTAAGGTATATTATTGGAATTCGTACTTAACTATATTACATTAAATGTATTTGTGGCTCTTCAAGTGGCATCATCGAACTCTGGGGATTTATTGTTGTTGTTTTTATAGGGTCTAACGCCATTTTTCAACACAAGATAGGCTTTACATGGCGGCCAGTATGTACAACCGCTCCGGTGGCCTAGTGGTTAGAGCGTCCACTACGGATGCGAGAGGTCGTGGGTTCGATCCCCGGTCGATTCATACCAAAGACTTACAAAAATGGTACTAACTGCTGCCTTGCTTGACGCTCAGCATTAAGAGGTAAGTGTTAGGACTGGTCGGCCTGGTGTCAGGAAAATGTGACTGGGTGAGACATCATGCTACATGTCTGCGGCATAATGCCCCAGTGGTAGACATCACTATAAATTGCCACACTGCATACATTGTAGCGATATGACTGAAAAATATTGTTAAAGCTACGTTAAAAATTATACACACCACTACATGGCGGTAGTATAAATGGTGCCCAAGACTCGAACCAACTCAGAGGTGAGATAGCAACAATTCTTAGAATTGAGCGCTTTAGACCACTCAGCTGAAGGGTTTTGTGTAACCAGATGATGTGGGCAATGGTGATGTGGGTTGGTTGGACATTGTATGAATTTCTCTTAGTGTGAGGAGCCAAATGTTCTGGACCAGCGAGTCTGCAGAAAAAGGATTTCTCGAGTAATCCTTAAACAGGCCTGGAGAAGCGAACCACGTGAGGCCGTTCCTTTGCTCATCAGATGGATGCTGTGTAATCGAAAACGTCTCGTGACCGTCGACTTTACGATACGAGATAAATAACATCGCATATTCCATTTCCTAATCAGTCGAATGGACGGACTTGTGTGAACATAAAATTCAGTATCACTGTGGGTTTAAATCCACCATGCACCATTTATCATACGTCAGTCATACTTACTGATGCTTGATGGTCCATATATCAATAAATATTTCTACAAATTTCATACATTCATCATATCATCTTGAAAGAGCCAGAAATTTACCAATGGGCGCCTGCAGCATAGATCAAGGGGGAAGGGTCATATGTATTGCGAAAAATTTATTCATGCAAATGAGAATGAAAATATTTAACAACATTCTGTTCAAAACGCTTAGTAAATATTAGCTTCAGTTTCATGCTGCTTACTATACTAAATCCAGGCCGTGACTGACTACCCTTACTCCTCTTGCAAAAAAAATCATGCCCTTCCCCCTCGCGCAAAAAAAATGTGGGAGCCCACGAATCTATCATATTTGTTTGTATCAGTTATCTGTTGCAAGCATCGCGTTATTTCTCAATTATCAAATTTATAAAGAAAAAAAATTACAATAAGTGAAAATATCATAGGTTTGCCAACTTTCTCAGCATTGTTGTTTCAAATGCGCATATCATCACCTTATAACGGTCCTATTTTAATGCAGTTTTTAATTTTGAACAGAGCCTAGGAATTATGGGAACTAACTCTTGTATAGAACTTCTCTGAAGCCTGGAGATTGATTTACCTTTCTGCTTAGCGACACATCCGGTGTATATACGCTTACGTGTATTTCGATTTTGGACGCCAACTCCTTTCTTTTACACATTGACAAATAGATAATGGAGGTCGTTTTCTTCGAACTTTATATTGTTGTTAGTCTGGCTTTGGTAAATGTCAGTCAAGGTGCCCATAGGGAAGGTAAGAAGACTAATTGCTCTCTTTTTCATTCCTTTTACTGGACAATTGACTGGCATGCCCCAACGTTATATATGATATCATTCTCTTTTGGATAATCTATCTATCTATCTATCTATCTATCTATCTATCTATCTATCTATCTATCTATCTATCTATCGGTTTGTCTGTCTGTCTGCATGCATGCATGTCCGTATGTGCGTGTGTGTGCGTGCGTGTGTGTGTGATTTCCTTAAATCTACAATAGAAGAACTCATCAAAGAAATTTTGGTAAACCTAAAATTGGTAACAAGTAACATATTTGGTGTCAATGTATCTCCAGCTTATGACTTAAATTGTCTTTGCAAATCACAAAGGCATAAACAGCAACTGTCACTATGGCAAGTATGCAGAATTAAACTAATTGCCATTGTCGATGTAGAAAATAGTTGCTTGTCTAAGCATCCCAATTCAAACATTTTCATTTACCTTGTACCTTAAACATTTGAATCAGAAATGGATAAACAGTAATGTGAACTATAGCAATGTAACCTCAGATAAACATGTGAGATAGACAAACTTTTGGTCAAGGTTAACCAGCTACTAAAAAGCCTATGGACAACAAGACACCAGGCTTGGTTGCCCACATTTTTACTACCCATTTTTCTGACATAATTACCCTATCTACATCTTGGTGGATTGAACATATATTTTAGTGCTTTGTCCTGGTGATATCTATTGGATTTCATGATTCTCGTCCTTAGTATGTAATGCCAACTAACCAATAGCATGTAACAGTTGTGCATTGTACACTGGCTGGAAATGCTGGAGGCAAATGACTTAAGAAGGATACTTTGTAAGTTTAGCATCAAAAGTATGACTATGTACTATGGAAGCTATTATAGGTATATTTGAGTGAAAGGTAATATATAACAAAGATTGGAAGTGGAAAATGGCTTATTTATTAATCTATTCAAGTTGTTTGCTCTCATTGTCTCAATCATTTAGGAACAGTGTTCAAATTTAAACAACATAATTTTGATTGCATGCAGTGGCTCGCCAACACATCCAATGAAATTCACACACTTGAAGCACATGAATATCTGCTTGATATGCCAAGGTGTACATAGGGTTTTTATATCAAAACCTTGGCTAGTAAAGATGAGCTGCCTGTAAATACTAATATAGTTTGGAGGCAGATTTATCATATTACAAAACATCAAGAAAAGGAAGATGTTGGATTATGATTTATCTTCAGATCTCTAAAAGATTAAATGAGAGCATTAATTTGCTGACACTTTCCATCAGCCAAGCCGTACTGATGGTGAGTTGCATACACTGTGTTCTTTATATATATATATATATATATATATATATATATATATATATATATATATATATATATATATATATATATATATATATATATATATATATATGTTGAATAATTGATGACTGCAGTCTTGGGCAATTGCAGTAATTTACCTGCCAACTAGAAAAATATGCTGGGCAACTAGTGTTTTAAAGATGGTTGCCCATGAGCAGCCATGGATTTTCAAATGTTTTCTAACCTTGGTGACACTCATACACATACTGGTAGGTAATTATGACAATTATGTCTTTGAAAGCGCCTGTTGTTTGGCAATAATGCCATTCTTGGATTTTATACCAATATACTGAATTCATGTATGCCAGCATCATGTTCATGGAAATGTTCCAATAGCAAATTTGTTTCTGATTTGCATATTGTGTGATATATACACCAATAAATGCTTGGTTTACAAGAACACCCTCCTTTTCCAGTGTTCATAAACAATGCTTGCATTTAAAATTTGGGATATTATAAATTGAGTAAACTCTGAATACATATATTGAATATGTAAATTAAAGAGAGAATATTTCAGCTAATCCTCATTCTAATTATGGGATATTGTTTTTGTTAATCCCTGTTGCTAAAGTCTGTAAAACCCACAAGTTGCTATTCTTAAAATTTGGAAATCTCCATGATTTTGAAATGTCATTATTTGATTTGCCACATTTTTAAAAGAATTGTTCTTATTTGTCACATGTCATGACCAAAAAGAAAATTTCTTGCTTTATGGGAATAAACTAAGTTACACTATATAATGTTTTTATCAAATCTTAATTAGTATACTTAAAATGATAATAAACAATATGTCTTTTAGACATAAGTGTGAGAGATACAAAGTTGTTCCTTGAATTTTTAGAGTGTCATTTTTTATATTTAAGGCAGAACCACAAGGAATAACAATGATGCTCCTCAGCTGCCATGTGAAATTCACCTTGAGCAGTGATAATTCTTGAACAATACTTGCAAGGATAGTTTGTGAGTTTTCTTTTTTTATAGCCTCAATTTTTGTTTAGTTTCAGACACATCTTGCAGAACATGCCAGATTACAATAAAGGGTAAGTTTCAGACAATATATACAGCCTTTAACTGAAAATTCATTTTTTTTTTTATGATTGGAATTTGCATTTGTTTTGTTGGTCGCATATGGTTTGTGCATTCCTGTTATCTGCAAGTGTTTTATCCCCTTGTTTTTACTCATGCAATATGAATAATGAAGTCAATAGGTATTAAATATATTTATGCTTATTATCAACCTCCTCCCTACTCCTGTCTAAAGAAACCTTTACCAGTCACTGCCATGTCACCTCTGTCAGTGTGGGTTCCAATCATAGGTTTGGTCAATGTATGTAATTAAGCTTGCCACTAGCTTCTCATGGGTTGATAGTTCTTACCAGGGTTTTCCAAGATTCAACCTTCACCATTTATACTAATTGCCATGCATAGCCTATCATGTGTTAGAAAATGGCATTAAATCGACAACAACAACAATCCTCCATCATCCAAATCAACTTTTTTTTTAATACAGATTTTGAGCTTTTCTTTAGATACATATACCTTAAAAACTAAGTTTGTTTTCACTGCATAATTTTTCCCAAACATTAGTAACACATAGGTTATCCAAGTTTTTCCCTACCACCCCCACCCTCCATTTAGTACATATGTCCATCTGTTAAACAAGTTTATTACTCATTTAACCACATTGTAGCAATTATTTGACTTGTTTCTTGTTTCACACAGTATACCATGGTCAAATTTATAAACAAGTCTGTTGTTGATTATATTGTTATGTTTTATGTTTCAGCTAAATTTTTGAAAGTTTAAAGATGATATAATAACAAGAAGAAAATATTAATGTAATAAAATCAGCATTTTCAATTTAATAACTTACTAATTTTTGAAGAGCAGCAATGTTTTTTTTTTGTTTTTGTTTTTTTTTCACTAAATTCTTAAACTGCCACAGTTGGAGTCAGTATGATTCATAGCTACCATAGATAAGTTGAATTCTGGAACAATATCATATTTCTGGAATCCATTCCAAATAGTAGCTTGTGTTATTATTGTTTATTGTAAAATTGGAAGGTGTGTAGTTTATGCCATCAGGCGAGTATTTATGGGTAGGTGACTATATTATTGATCTTGAGTTACTGGTAGTGGATAGGCATGGATTTGAGCATAAAAAATAAACTAGATTA